GCTGCCGTCGCTGCCAGGGACCGTTTCCATGAAGAGCTGCGCTTCGTCGAGGCCCGTGTCCGGGGCGCGAATCAGTTGGTGATCGTCGGTGGGGACTTCAATGCTGAAGTCGGCCGGCCCCAAAATGACGAGGAGCGTAGTGTGTTGGGTCTTCATGCTTCACCGCGCCGCACGGACAGTGGGCGTGATCTGGTGGCTATGTGCCAATCAGTCCCTTTATGTATCCTCAGTAGTATGTATGAGCAGCCTCAGCCTGCCACGTGGTGGCACCTGCGGTACCGCTCCGCCCACCAGCTCGACCACGTGCTCGTCCGGCCACGGGACCGGAAGTTTTTCACGTCGTGCCGCACCCTCCATTTTGGTCCACGGGGCCAACAGGACGAGCTTGGGCGACGGAGTAGGCGAAAAGGGGGTAGGAGTCTGGGGGGAGGAGATGAGAGGGAGGACGGGGTGGTACCGTGGGCCCCATACACGGACCATGAGCCGGTTGAAGTGTGTGGTCGGCTTGACGTGGAGTGGGCTCGTGTGGCCACTGTTGACGAGGCCCGCGAACCTGTTCCCAATTACGGTGCCATGGCGGGGTCTTCTGGTCTTGCCAAGCGGGCCAGGAGCGATTTCGAAAAATTGATCACCGAGCGCCTCCTAGGCTGTGCATCTCCGCCCGTGTGGCGGGACGTCTGTCGGATTGTGAAGGAAGTCGCGTTGGAAGTGTTGGGTGTGCGGGTCAAAAGGCACCAGATCCCGTGGCTTCAGGGCCATGAGGACACAAAGCGCCGACTCGACGAGGCTGTGTCCAAGGCCGAGACAGCTTGGAAAATGGCGTCAGAGGATACCAAAGCCGCCGCTTTAGAGGCGTGGCGGTTGGCGCGGCGGGATCGTCGCCGGTCCTTGCGTCAGTTGGAGAACGCGTACTGGCGAGACATTGGCACTCAGGCTTCCGCTGCGGCCCGTAGCGGGGACCAGGGCGAGTTGTTTAGGCTCTTTCGAGACCTCCGGCTTCGGCGCGGGGACAGATGCGACTCCGGTCGCTGGAGCGCCGGGGACGTCGCCGGGGAGCGGGAGAAGTGGAAGAAACACTTTGCTGCCATCTCCCGGGACGTGGGGGTCGTTGCTGAGCATGTGTGGCAGCACGTGCCACAGACGGCGGTGGTCGCGGAGTGGCTTGCCGCTCCTCCCACCGACCCTGAGTTGGCGGCCTGTGTCAAGAAAATGCAAACAGGGCGACAACCCGGAGAAGACGGGTTCGTAGCTGAGGCCTTAAAGTATGGCGGGGATACCCTTCGCACACGAGTGTTTGAAATCGTGCGAGAGATGTGGGGCCGTGCGGCCCGGGCAGAGGACGACGGCGAGGCTGAAGATTGGCCCGATGAATGGAAGGTGGGTTTGGTGGTGCCGCTCTGGAAGCAGAAAGGCAACAGGTCTGACAAAAACACGTGGCGCGGCATCACGCTGTTGTCGGTGGGCTCTAAGTTAGTGGCTCGGGTCGTGGCCTCTCGGCTCGCTCAGTGGTCTGAGGGCATTATGGCCGAGGAACAGTCTGGGTTCCGACGAGGCCGGGGCACGGATGACGCCCTGCAGGTCGCGCGGCGCATTATTGAAGAGGCTCGTGCTCTTACCAATGGTAACGCGGTGGTCATCTCGTTCTACGACATTGAAAAGGCGTACCCGCGAGTGTGCCGCCCTGCGCTGTGGCGTCTATTAGAACGACGAGGCTGCCCCTTGGAGTTCATCCGCGTGTGCAAGGCGCTGCACGAGCACACGGGCTACAAAGTACGTGTGCTACAGGGCTTGTCGTCTCAATGGTACCCTCTCCGCGGCCTCCGGGAGGGGTGCCCGTCCAGCCCTCCACTTTTTAACGTGTTTCATGATGCAGTGCTCCGAGACTTCCGCCTGCGGCGGAAACGTCGGGCTGATGCGGCTGGACACTCCCCCGGTCTCGCTTGGGACTACCAGATCGATGGCAAACTGAATAAGCGTGCCCGGACACGTACTCACATCTCTGGAGAAAAGGGGTTCGCTAGTACGGTCCGTTCCACCGTAATTGGCGATTTGGGATTCGCGGATGACACGGCCGTGGTTGGCATGGCTGATGAAATGCGGGTGGCCGACCCTTTGTTCGAGGCCACGATGGCTGACTGGGACGAGAAACTCAATCGGGGCAAAACGGAGCGCCTTCGTGTCTGTGGAGTGCCCCCTGCGCCGTACGACGTTCTTACGGAGTTCGAGGTGGTGCAGGTCAAACACATCGGGGGGATTCACTGCCGTAGTGGGGCTCTTACCGCGGACACGACCAAACGTGTGGCGGCGGGCAACGCGCTCGTTAAATCCTTGGCCAAGGGCTGGGCTGTGGGGACGGCGCACGGCCGTGGACGTACGAGCGGAGTTGACATCTGCACCAGACTCCACATTGTGCACGCGTGCGTGATTGGGCTCCTGACGTCCGCCTCGCGGTCTCGGGGATGGACGCAGCACGATCTGCGCAGAATTCAGCGCGTGGCAAATTATGGGGTCCGCCGAGCGTTCGGTATGGATGTGCTGATTATGCGTGATCTGGAGGTGTCGGACTCTATGATGTATCGAGCAGCCCAATGGCGTTCGATGGAGGATTTAACGGCGCGTTTGGCGCTGCAGTGGCTGGGTCACGTGGCTCGAATGCCGGTGTGGCGCGTTCCGAAGCAAGTGTTGTTCGGGTGGCTGTCAGCAAGGGGGGGCACCCCTACGGTGGGCCGCATCTGGCAGTATCAGTGGCTCAGGAAGTGTGTCAGGAAGCTCTCAGTGGCCGAGATTGATTGGTTCAGACGCGCACAGCACCGCCGTGGCTGGAGACGTGCAATCGATGCGAGCTTCCCGGGTGAGCCGCTTACGACCGAGCAGCGGGCAGCGATCAATGCGTGGCGTCCCGGGGCTCCTTTGCCGTCGTCGGGGGCGGGTTCGTCGTTGTCGTCGTCGGTCGTCCCTCCTCCTCCTCCTCCTCCTCCTCCTCCTCCTCCTCCTCCTCCCCCCTCCCCCCCCGACGACGACGAGGAGGGGGGCCAGGAGACTGCGTATTCTTGCCCCGTGTGTTCCAAGACTTTCGGTACGGGTAACCAGCTTCAGTACCACTACGATGCGGCGCACTCAGTTCGGGACCCTATGCTCGTCACCAGTCTGAGTCACCAGTGCCCTGACTGCAAACAGTATATGGGTAGGGATGTCAAATACCACAAGGCCACGTGTCCCGCGAGGCTCGAATTGCGAGATGCCCTGCAGGTTGAGTTCGGTAAATGGGAGCCTGTTCTCCACGGGCCACACGCCGCACCACCTCTAGGATGGTGGGTTGCCACGGACGGGTCGGGGCTAGATGGGGAGGCGGGTTGGGGCGCTGTTATTTTTCGTTATGAAGGGCCGGGCAGCCCGGGGGTGGTGCCCGACTATGTTTTGCACGCTCCGGTGGTGTGTCGTGCCTGGGATCACAGGTGGATGGGCGCCAGGACCCAGACGAATAATACAGCTGAGCTTTCGGCCATAGGGGAAACCATGCATTGGCTTCTGAATGAGGCGCCTGACGGCGGAGATGTGCCCGTGCACATCCGCTATGATTCGGAGTACGCCGCCAACACTGCCCGTGGGCTCTGGGAGGTGAAATCAAATGAGGAATTGGCAGAGACTGTACGAGGGCTTACGGAGCAGGTCATGGCTCGGCGCCAGGTGACGTGGGAACACGTTTATGGGCACACCGGCGTGCATGACAACGAACTAGCGGATCGCGCGGCGGATTTGGGCCGCCAGGGCATGGTTTCGGAGCAGTCTTTGCGGTGGCTCTCGCCCCCTCCCCAGGTCGCCGCCCTCTGTTGGCAAGATGTAGACTTCTGCAAAAAATGCGGCATTCAGGTCCTGTCCAAGGACATTAAGTGGCATTTCCGTCGGTGTACGGCCGTCGGTTTCGCCATCGCACCGGGGATGGCCAAGTGTCGTAAATGTCATGTGGAGGTCAAAGAGGGGTGCAGACACGCGCACGAGAATAAGTGTCGTGGGAGTGAGCTCCTTAATAGAACGTGTGCCACATGTGGTAAGGTGTTTGAGCCCACTGATCCACCTGGTATGCTTTCTCGCCCTTGTGGCGTACATGAGAAATGGTGTCGCGGCGTGCGCGTGCCGGCCCCCCCGGATCCTTTGGCGCCCGCGGCAGTGGCCCCTGTGGCTGCCCCAGTCGCGCCAAAAGCGAAACCGAAAGCCAAGGGCGGAGCCAAGGTGATGGCCGCCGGGCGCGGGAGGGGCGCGGCAGCCAAAGCCCGGGGTCGCGCTCCAGGTCGTGGGCATCCTGGCCCGGGAGCTAACTTGAGGCTCGCGCTGCGGCGCCCCGCGGGCCACGGTTAAGGCCATCCCTCGAGGCCGCGTTTTTGCCGGGCGTTACATCGAAAGCTGGCGGTGGCCCCCCGGGGGCCTTCCCTCGACGCCGCGTCTCTTTGCCGGGTGTTGGATCGAAAGCTGGCGGTGTTCCTCCTCCTTCCCTCGGGTGGTCAACGGTTTCCCGCAGCAGTCTGTGTTTCGTGTGGCTGCACCCATTGTGCCAGGCGGCGATCCTACGTGACGTCGCGGGGGCGGCAAGACGGTTCTACTGTTCCGTCATGTGCCAGACCTGCGCCTACTGACGCAGGTCACGCCGCCCCCACGCCCTCGCAGCCGGGGCAGTTGCATGGTGTGAGTTTGTGATATGCGGAAGCCGTGGTGGTGTGTGGGTGTGTTATTCTCCTGTGTCCTCCCTCGTGTACCCCTCGGTGGTGGTGGTCGGTACTCCTGCTTTGCCCGCTCTGTCTCCCGCCCGCTCCCCTCCCCCTCCCCTCCCCCTCTCCTCCCCCCCTCCCCCTCCCCTCCCCCTCTCCTCCTTGCTCCCCCCCCGGCCCTGCCCCTCCCATTGCCGACCGCCATACACATTGTGTGCGCACGTGTCTGTCCATGATGCGAAATCGTTGTCCCATTGCCTCATTGCTCTGCTCGTCGCCGCAGCCTCAAAGACAACAGGCGCGCTTGCCCTCCCCCGGCCTGCCATCGCGATGGCTGCCGCTCGCAGGGTCCAGGTCGACCAGGCGCTCGCGTCTCACGAGGAGCGCTTGGACCGCCTTGAGCGGGCGTCGGCGCGTCACGAGTCCAGCCTCAAGGTTGTCCTCCGCTCGACTGTGCTGGTCTGTGAAGGTTTCACGGTGGCCGACCAGTTCTATATGAACAAGCATGGTCAGCAGCTTTGGAGGGAGCTTCGCGAGGGCTGGCCTGAGGCGGTGTGCTCTGAGGCCGCGCGTCACCTCGGGGTTGCGTGGCCGTTGGATGAGCCCATGAGCGGCGTTGTGGAGAGCGAGAGCGCCAGCGCCCTGCGCAGCCTCTGGCGCGTCCTTGCCACGCCCGGCCTAGTGACGGGGGTCTGGGATCAGAGCAAGTGGAGCGAGGACGGGGCCAACTGGGAGAGAATCCCTGGCACGTTCGTCACCACGATGGCCTTCGGCACCGAGTCTTTGCTGGTGGAGAGTGCCTTGCGGCCACTCGACGCCCTGATGCGTCGGGCGTCAGGGCTGGTTGTGCGGGGCCAGCAGACCCGGAGCCCAGATGAGCCCGAGCGCCCCAGGGTGCTGCTCTACCTCGAGCGCCCGGAGAACAAGGGGAAGGGCGGCACGGGCGGCAAGGGAGGCGATGGCGGCAAGAGCGGCGGCAAAGGCAAGAGCAAGGGCAAGGGCTCGAAGGGCTCCTCCAAAGGCAAGAAGGGCGGCAAGGGCGGCAAGGGCGCCGCGGGCGGCCGGGGTGGAGTGGTGCAGGCGGCGGCGCTGAGTCGGCCCAGGCCGTCCGGCCGCGTGCTGGCGCGCCCCGCTGCGGCCGAAGGTGGTGGTGCGGACGATGGCCCGGCGGCCGCGCCGCCTGGCCCGGCGGGTGGGGCGGAGGCGCCGGGCGCAGCAACGGCGGCCGCGCCTGGCCGCTGAGCGCCTCAGAGGCTGGAGAACTGCATGAGAATTCAATACTGCATGTGGACTCCTTGCATGATCTGAGAATCCATAGGACGCAGTGGCTTCGTGAGAGTTGTACGAACTGCATGAGATTCCCAAGGATTTGTACTGCATGAGAATTCAAAATGGCAGTGGAGTCGTGAGACTTGTACGAACTGCTGGAGATTTGTATCAGATGCACGTGGCTGGCTACGCGGCCGACTTGTATGACTTGTATGACGTAGTTTACTGCGCCGTGGGAGCTTGGTGGTGTGAAATTGTGTCACCTACACCCCTTCCGCACGGACGATCTCTCCCGTCGCCGTCGTTTGCCGGACGTGGCTCGTTTATGCTGGTTCTCTTGCGTGCGTTTTTGGTCTTGTGTGGTGGTTGGTGTGTCCCCCTGGTATGGTGCCTTCCCCCTTCTCCCCTCTCCCTCCCTCCCCCCCGCCCTCATCATCGCCTTCTACTTGATCCTAGGAGGCGCCCGAGCTCTCCCTGAAGGCCCGGCCGCCGTTCGCGGCGTACAAGCCGGAGGCGGAGGCGGAGGGAGGCGGTGATGATGATGGTGATGGTGATAGTGACGATGATGATGACGATGATGATGATGATGATGATGCTGATGCTGATGATGATGATGCTGCTGATGATGATGCTGATGCTGATGCTGATGCTGATGCTGCTGATGATGATGATGATGATGATGATGATGATGATGATGATGTTGGGGAAGGGGAAGGAGGAGTTGGATGAGGAGTTGGAGGAGGAGTTGGAGGAGGAGGCGGAGGAGGAGGAGGATAGATTTGTTGGGCAGACGTGGGGGGGAGGGAGGGAGGAAGGGGGGATCTGAAGGGGAGGAGGTGGAGGAAGAGGCGGAGGGAGGAGGGAGGGAGAAGGAGGCAGAGGAAAAAGAGGGGGGGAAGGGAGGGAAGAGGATGAAGATGATGAGGAGGCGGAGGACGGGGGTAGATCTTGGATTATAGGGTCTTCAGGTTAGCCCTGAAAATGATCTCACAATGCACAACACATCGGCTGGCCAGGGGCGGCGTGCGGTCTGACTTCTTGGCTGAGCATGCCGCGCCGCTGGTTGTGGCCCTTGCACATCACGTTCTGGCGCAAGCGTCAACTTCCCAAGCGTTCCCCATCCAAAGCAAACACGCCGGACCGTACATATATGGACCGCCTCACCATCGGGGGCCTCCAAACGGGGTGGTGACCAGACCGTGTGGTGAGTCGGTGGGGATTCGGGGTCACCGCACGGTTTTGGGACTCGGGTCGTTCTCCGAGGACGTCTCGGGCGACTGGGGCCTCCGGGGGCCCAAAACCGTGCGCTGACGGACCGTGCGGTGAGGTCTTGGGGGATTTCGAGGTCACCGCACGGTTTGTCACCACACCGTTTCGGGACTCCGAACACCACCTGCATGCGTGCAGATGTGTTCCCCGATTTGTGCTCCCGGAGTCTGGACAGGCTGCTGGCATCATCGGCCGAGGGGGCCCCAGCTCCGCCGTCAGCCGCCCTATTGCGCGCACGGCCGCGCCCTCGCTCCCAGGCTTCCGGGGAGGGACAGGGCTGTTGGGTTGCAGCTCGAGGTTGAATACCACATTGGGCGCTCCAGAAAGGGCCCCGCCTTCGAGGGGCGGGTCGAAGGTGGTGGCATCTTTCTTTTGGAGGCCAGAAATGATCTGGCATCTCTCGAGGGAGAAACGACATGATCCCGAACTCTAGGAAGCACGCGCGGTGGATCTAGGCTGGGCCCCCTTCCCTGGCGCTCGAGCGCGCCAGGGAGGGGGGTCCAGCGCCGACCCAAGAAAGTCGCGCGGATGCCCGACAGTTTTTGTTTATTCCCAAATCAGTGCTTGCACTGAAGGGCTCATAACGGATAGTGGAAGATGTGGCGAAAGTGTCCGGCCGACTTCGGTGGGCGGCCGGGTTCCCGGGTTCCCGGTTCTGGGCCGATTTCGGTTGGTGGCTTGGTTGGTTTTGGGCCAGTTTCGGTTGGTGGCCTGGTTCCCCGTTTTCCGGGCGTTCGATTTTCCTTATGGACTGGTCTCACCATCGATCTCAGTACCCACCTATCGATCGAAATCATTGTCGATATCACTACAGATCGCACGAGCGATGTCACGATCGATATCATGACTGGTTTTACTGAACCGATTTCACCATCGGTCTCACGATCGACATCAGTTTCCGACTTTTTATCGATCCCATTATCGATCTATGTATCGATCTTACAATCGACCTCAATATCCATATCACTAAATTCCAAAACATCCATTGATTAGGAGTTCCCTCTGGTGTAAAGTAGTTTTTCTTTATCTAACATCCGTCCTGGCTTATTCGTGTTTCCGATCCGCACCAACGTGGGCCGATTCGGCTTTACTTCTGGCTCTTGCTCAGGCATGGCGGGAAAGGGTGCCCTCAGGGAGAATTCGGCTCCGAGGTTCGAGCAGATGGGGCTGCAGTATCGCGCCACGTCGTCGATGCATCGGCGATGCAGAGCGATGTGGAGCCCGATTTTCTCCACGCCTGCGGCGCAGATGCATCGCCGACGTCGCCGATGCATCGGCGATGCGGCGCGATCCTCCGACCCCATCTCTTCGGACCCCATGTGGGATGCCTCTGCTACAAGAGGCCTTATGAGTGATCCCAAAACTGCCGTCATGGGCACAACAGGTGCCCGAGAGAGGCTCACGTTTCTTCACCCCCTGGTCACTGGAGGCAATCTGCTTGGGGTGATCGAGGACTGCAGGAAAGAGGCCCTCAATGTGCCCTTGTGAATGGCCGCCCAGCTGCCTGTCCGCAGGCCCAGAATTCGGGGGGAGGGGGGGGGGCTCCTTGTGTTGGTGTGGGGCGCGGCCGCGTCGCACTACAGCCGAGATTGATTTGCAGGTCGAGCCTGCTGAAGCAAGGTTGCCCTTGCGTCCTGTGCCTCGCGGCCCATGCGCGTTCTGCACTCTCATGGCAGCGTGTGGCCCTCGGGGGGGGGGCCTCGTGCCCTTCCGCGTGCCCTCTCCAGTCAAAAACTCGGCTGTGCTCCGGGCGGCCGCGAGGGCGGGGAGCCGGCGCCCGGTGCGCAGGAGCTCGTGGCCTCCTTCCCGCTGGTCCCGATGGCACGCCCCGCCCGCTGCCGCTCCTCCTCCTCCTCCTCCTCCTCCTCCTCCTCCTCCTCCTCCTCCTCCTCCTCCTTCTCCTCCTCCCTCAGCCAGGGCGGGGGCGCGTGCGCGCAGGCCAAAACGCCGGACCGATAATTGACCCTCGTCCCCCAGTCTTGACCGATTTCATCCAGGGCCCATCCACCGCATCCTCCACCCAGCCGCTTTCAAGTATGTCTGCGATCACCCGCGAGCCCTACCCCTGTGGGTCCAGTCGACGCTGGGGTGTCGGTCTCCCCCGCTGGGGCTCGCCGCGAGCATCCTTTTAGTTCTGAGGCCCAGCCGTTTTTTCTCTGAATTTCAACCTGCAGGGGAAGGGTTCAAGTGTGGGTGCCCACTCTGGTCTCTGCTACAGTCAACCCGCATAGTAAGGATAAGCAACTTTCCAAGGCTACCCCTGCATCCTTGCCCCTTCGGCCAATTCTTAGCGACTTTCCCTGGAGGGGGGTCAACAATAGCTACTCTTCAGTAGTGAGAGGTCAACAGCAGCAGCAGCAACAACATTACCAACAACAACATAACTCATGCTGATGACGACTGTTCGCTCTTAACTGCCCGCGGGCCATTCAGCACGTATATCCCAAACCCTCGATACCCTCCCTCTTCGTTTTCGATCGTACCCACCTGGGGCATATATTTTTCTTACCCGCAACCGCAGTAATACTATCAGCAGCAACAATACTAATCAAAACAACAACAACAACAACAGCAGCAGCAGCAACAACAGCAACAACAACAGCAACAGCTGCAACAGTAACAACCCAAACAACAACACTAACAACAACAACAACAACAACAACAACAACAACAACAACAACAACAACAACAACACCAACAACAACAACAACAACAATAACAACAACAGCTGCAACAGCAACAACACAAACAACAACACACATAACCCGCGCCATGGAGTCCAATTTCAGCCACGCGCCCAGGAACAGTGAATGATTGTTCTGTTCCCACACTATGACCTGGCCAGCACCGAACACCGCCCATGTCGATTGGCGACAAGGGTCGGCGGCGAAATCCGAACTCTATCCTCGCCGATCAACGATTCAGGCAACCCGATGGTTTGCGGGGGCAGGGTCCAGAATTCATCGAACACGTGGCGAGATCCGAAGCATAAACCCGTTTCCCATCGATTCAGGAGAGTCGATGGTTGGTGGGGCAGGGTTCAGATGTCGCCACCTACGAATGTCGATGGTGACGACGGGCCCATGGTCGAAGACGCAGCTTGCCTCTCCGCTGCCCCCCGCAGGGCGCCGCGGCGCAGGAGCTCGTGGCCTGCGGCGGCATCGAGCAGTGGATTCGCAGGCAGCTGGCGTCGGAGCGGGCAGCGGACCCGACTTGCGCCAGAGGCAGCCTCGGTGCCTAGGCGCTTCCCAGGGCGCGAGCAAAACTTTGTTTTGCTATTGTTGCATGGCGTTATCGTTCACCCAATGTGTTTTCGGGCGCAAGCGCGCGGCCATTTTGTCGTCGTTTTCGCGGACGACGGTTTGAGACGAAACGGGTTGTTTTCGGAGATGGCGCCGATTTCGGTTCTTCATTGTTTGAAGTGCAAGCGGTGTCCACAACAGGACCGACGTTTTGCTCGCACCCTGCCTCATTTGACGCCCCTCGGTGTCGCCCTCTTTCAGGCCCCAGGGCTCTCGCGGATCGACCCGTCTCGAGAAGTGCTGCAGAAGTATGAGGTGTAGGGCCCCAGTCGTGATTTTTTACGATGTTTCATTTTGCGTGATTTCGGATCTCAGAGTAGGCCAATGGTGTCCCCGGTTCGGTTGGTCACACCGTGTTGCAGTCGGTAGCGCCCCTCCCGTTCGGTCCGGTCGGCTGTGTTGTCGTTGCCGCGCCGTTGCGTCTTGTTTCCGGCTGCTTCCGGCAGACTCAGTGTCTGTCGGGTTCGGTCTCGCTGTCGGTTCGGTCGGTTTGCGGTTACGCCGCCGCCGTGAATTGGCTAGCTGAGGCGCAGAGCTTGTGTGATTGGGCTCCCCTCGGAAGCCTGGCGGGACCGATACCATACGCGCCTCGGAGGCGGCAGCCTCTTCCGCGCACGGCCCGTTCTCAGGACCCAGATCTGCGAGGATCTTATCCGATCCATCCGTGCGTTTTTCCCAGGTTGCGGCTTCCTGGGCCCCTTATCGGGCCGCAGGACCATTAAGAATGAACCGTAGGCGCAGCGCTACCCCCAGAGAATGGGTCGGGACCTCAACACTCGTGCCGTGCCCTGGTCTCCGAGTCTTGAGCCCCAGGTCTGCCCGACCGACGCCCCACTTGCCTGTCGTCCTTCGCCTAGGCTCCTCGCAGCCTCCGGCGCTCCTCGCGAGGGGACTCCGAGCGCGGTTCACCATCGTTCCTGCCAGTGTCGTGTCGAGTTGCGTTTCCTGGGGGCCTGAGTACAGTTTGTGGCCCCCATCTTATTACAGAGCCATCTCCAATTCCTTCCACTCCCCATCTTGCAGCAGTTGTGATGTCGGTGGAAACGTGGGTACTCCAACATGTGGCGAAACATGATCGATTCCAAACTCAGGCAAACTGGCGTTCTCTTCCCGACTTGTTCATTCCGTTTCGTCATCATGTTTACGATTGTTTATTTCGGCCACGTGTTTTGCATTCGTCCATGGTGCGAGAAAGCATATATTTGTTCGAGGCGATATTGTTATCGAAGACGCCTACGGCGAATCACCGCCGCCCCTTGCCTTTTCAAATCGCCCATATGGCCGAGCGTTGTGTAAGCTCTGCCAAGTTATCGGACCATGTGTTCCTCCAAGCGCTGTGGAAACCCTTCCGGGAACATTCGGGTGAGGGCAGGGAAGATTTGGAGGAGGAAGAGGAGAAGGAGGAGGAGGAGAAGGAGGAGAGGAGAAGGAAGAGGAGAAAGAGGAGGGGGCACCTTGGGAGCCTCTGGGGGCACTCTTGGGGCCTCCTGGGAGCTTCCTGGGAGCCTCTTGGATGCATCTTGAGGACCTCCTTGGGCCTCTTGGAGGCGAGGCCTTTAGGGGCTTCTCGGGGGATTCTTTGGCCGTCTCAAGGCATTCCTGGCTGGGCTGACGCCGTCGGAAGCCGTCTTGGAGGCCGCGTTGGCCGACTTGAAACATTTTTGGGGTGCTCCAGGGCCGTCTTGGAGGCCATCTTGGGCGTCTTGGAGGCCTCTTGGGCCGTCTGGGGGCCCTCTCAGGGCCGTCTTGGGGACCTCTTGGACCATTCTGGGGCCATCCTGGAAGCCTATTGGGCGATCTTTCGGGGCTCTTGGGCCGTCTCGGGCCGAAACGATGCACATGCCAACATAGTTCAAAAACCTTAAGAACATCACTGATGTCGTCCTCTTCGGGCCTGCCTGAAGGCCCTCGTGGAGGCCTCTTGGGCCTTTTTGAAGACCTCTTGGATGCCGTCTTGGGCCACCTTAGAGCCATCTTGGGCCGTCTTGGCGGGCTCCTGGCCCGTCTGATGCCGTCGGAAGCTGTCTTGGGGGCCTCTCTAAGCTGACTGGGGGCTCTCTTGCGGTGCTCCAGGGCCGTCTTGGAGGCCATCTTGGGCGTCTTTGAAGCCTCTTGGGCCGTCTTTGGGTCCTCCTGCAGCGGTCTTGGGGGCCTTTTGGGCCGTTCTGGGACCATCTTGTAGGCCTCTTGGGCGATCTTGGGGAAGGCCGAAAAGAAGCACATGCCAACATCCTTCAAACACGTATCAAAAACATTTATCTTGGCGAAGGACCCAACCATATGCAGTTGTGGGTATCGCAATTGTGAATATCTTTTTCGGTGAAGCTACCTATGGGGCCACGACGCGCTGCACTGGGTGGGGGGGAACGCATGCGGGCAGTAGCACTGGGGCCGTCGGTGGAGCTCCCTATGGGGCCACGAAACCGTGTACTGGGTAGGTGAAAATGCCAAATTGGGTGTGTGGGACGCATGCGGACGGTCCCACTGGGGGCTTTGGTGGAGCTCCCTATGCGGCCACGAAGCGCTGTACTGAGAGGGTGAAAATACCAACTTGGGATTCCGGGGCGCATGCGGACGGTCCCATTGAGGGCTTAGGCGGAGCTCCCTATGGGGCCGCGAAGCGCTGTGCTGTACTGGGTGGGTGAAAATGCCAAATTGGGTTTCCGGGACGCATGCGGACGGTCCACTGGGGGCTTCGGTGGAGCTCCTAAAGGGGCCACGAAGCGCTATACTGAGTGGGCGAAAATGCCAAATTGGGTGTGCGGGACGCAAGCGGACGGTCCCACTGGGGGCTTCGGTGGAGCTTCCTATGGGTCCACGAATCGCTGTACTAGGTGGGTGAAACTGCCAAATTTGGGAGTGGCGGGCGCGTGTAGTACCGCCCACTGGGACCTTAGGCGGAGCTCCCCATGGGTCTACGAAATGCCGTACTGAGTGTGGCAGACGCATGTGGTACCCCCCACTGGGGCCTTAGGTGGAGCTCCCTATGGGGCCACGAAGCGCCGTACTGGGTGTGACAGACGCATGTGATACCCTCCCCCCTTGGGGCCTTCGGTGGAGCTCCCTATGGGGCCACCAAACGCTGTACTGGGTGTGGCAGACGCATGTGGTACCCCCGCTGGGGCCTTCGGTGGAGCTCCCTATGGGGCCACGAAGCGCTGTACTGGGTGTGTGAAGCGCATGGAGGAGGGGGAGGAGGAGGAGGAGGAGGAGGAGGAGGAGGAGGAGGAGGAGGAGACGCGGGGACCGTTTCTTCAAAACGAGGACCCAACATTACAGGATGGTTGGGAATGATTTCAGCCTCTTCGGGCCGTCCTGGAGGTCCTTTTGGAGGCCTCTTGGGCCGTCTTGGAGGCCTCTTGGGGGCCTCTTGGGCCCTGTTGGACCAATTTGGAGGCTTCTTGTGCGGACTTGGAGGCATCTTGTAAACTCTATTAGGCCGTCTTGGAGGCCATCTTGGACCATCTTGGGCGAACGTGCAGGCCATCTTGGGCCAACGTGACCATCTTAGAGGTCATCGGCCTCAGAGGATTTGTTGCAGACGTCGACTTCGTTTCCGGTCCCTTTCGGCAGCTCTCAATGGGGCCAGCGCGCTGGGCCGAAGGGGAAAAGAACCAAAACCAAAACCGGTAGGATCTAGCACGCCAGGCACCCTTGTGATGAATTAACAGGGGGCGGCGGATCGAAGACGCCCACGGCGATTCACCGCCGCCCCCTGCTCCTTTGGAAGCGCCTCTGTGGCCGACAGCTGGGCCAGAGCTTGGCCAAGCTATCGGGCCAGTTGTTCCCCGAGTCGGTTTGGAAAGACTTCGGGGAACGCATGGGGGAGCAAGAAGAGGAGGAGGGGGAGGATGAGGAAAAAGGAGGAGGAGGAGGAGGAGGCCTCTTGGGCGCCTCTTGGGGCAATCTCGGGGCCTCCTGGGAGCTTCCTGGGGGGCTCTTGGGGCCTTTGGGGGCTTCTTGGGGGACTCTTTGGCCGTCTTAGGGCGTTCCTGGCTTGTCTGAGGCCGTCGGAAGCCGTCTTGGGGGCCTGGGTCGTCTTGGGGCCCTCTTGGGGCAGATCAGGGGTTCTTCGAGGCCATCTTGGGCGTCTTGGAGGCCTCTTGGGCCGTTTTGGGGCCCTCGTGGGGCCGTCTTGGGAGCCTCTTGGGCTGTCAGCGGGCCATCTTGGAGGCCTCTTGGGCGATCTTGGGGGCCTCTCTTTCGAAAAGTGCAGGAAAACCACTGATTTCGGCGTCGTCGTGCCCTCCTGGAAGACCTCCTGGACGTTTCTTGGGCCGTCTTGGAGGCCTACTGGAGGCCTCTTGGGCCATCTTGAGGCCATCTTTGGCCGTTTTGGGTGCATCTTGGGCCGTGTTGGAGGTATTTGGGGGCGATCTTAGCTGTCTTGGAGGCCATCTTGGGCGTCTTGGAGGTCTCTTGGGCCCTCTTGGGGCCCTCTTGGGGGCCTCTTGGGCCGTCATGGGGCCATCTCGTGGGCGACATTGGGGGCCTCTTGGGACGTCTTGAGCCGTCGGAAGGCCGAAAAGAAGCAAATGCCAAAATCCTTCAAAAACTTGTTGGAACATCGATCATTTTGGTCTGTTCGGCCCCTTCTGGAGGACCGCTTGGAGGCCTCTTGGGCTGTCTCGGAGGCCTCTTGGGGCCTCTTCGGCCGTCTCGGGCCATCTTGAGGCCATCTGAGGCCGTCTTGGGTGCATTTTGGGCCGTGTTGGAGGTATTTTGGGGCGATCTTAGCCGTCATGGAGGCCATCTTGGGCGTCTTGGAGGCCTCTTGGGCTCTCTTGGGGCCCTCTTGGGACCGTCTTAGGGGGCCTCCTGGGCCGTCATGGGGCCATCTTGGGGGCCTCGTGGGCGATCTTGGGGCGATCGTGGGGGCCTCTTGGAGTCGCAATGTAGGAGATACGTCGTGTGTACGTATGTGTGCGCATGCGTGTGTATAGCCCGCCTGCCCGCCGCAACCGTTTCACTCAAGGACGCGTCCAGGAATCTCGTTCATTGCATGATCAGATAAGCATATCCTATCTTTCCCTTCTCTCACCACTGCCAGGGTCAATCGACCTTGGTAGCGGAGCTTCGGCTCCCTCCCGCCGTCCGCCAGACGGCGCGATCCACGGCGACATCGTTGACGGCTTCCACCTCTTCGATTACGACTGCAACGGCGACTTCGAGTATTCTCACGATATCTGAAACCGCCTCGACATCATGATGCCGCAGATAAACGTGAACAGCGCCCAGGCAGCTGGATTTGGTAGCGCTGCGGACCAAGTAAGCATCATGGGCACGATGAAGGTTCCACCGGCGTGGGACGGCATATGGCCGAGGTTTTATCCGTTCAAGCATTGGTCTCGGAATGTCGTGTGTTGGGCCCTGGCTTGTGAGTCGGCAGGCATACTACGAGTGGTGGAGTGGCACGAGAGTTAGCGAGTACACCTGATCCGGACACCGTACGCAACGGAGGAATGAGAGATCTCGGCGACGGGCTTCGCGTGAGACAGGTCACGGGGCTAGCTATTATAGTTCCAGGATTGCATCGACAGTTTGCCCCGCTGGATGCGGAGACATCAACATCGTCGATCGCGGAGCTCATGATTTTCAGGAGGATGCCGGGCGAGGATATAGATACGACGCTCGGCAGATTGACGAGTTTGAGGTTTGGAGCAGGATCTGATGGTAATTTTGATATTGGCCTTGGTGGTTTCGCATGGTTATTGCTTTCTGGCCTGCGTATCCTACCGGCGGAATGGGTGAATTTGTTGATGGACTAGCAGTTTAATGAGTTGGTGGGGCTGATCAGAAGAGTTGGCCATGTACACCAGCATGGCGGTATAGCGACGACGGCAGCAATGGGCGGACAAGGTAATGGTATGATGAGTGCTCAACCACAGATGCAGCGTGGTCAGGGCAGCTTTTAGTTTCCGACGATGAACGGCGCAGGCGCTCATTCTGACCCCATGGGAGGCTGCTGATCCCTGGCAAGGGAGTACTCTAACACTCGGAGGTGCGCCAGTTCTGGCGTTTCCATCCACCCAGCAGCAGCAGCCTCTCTACCCAGCTCAACACCAGATGCAGCCAAATACGATTGGATAACCATTCATGGCGGACTGTGAAGATTGGAGTAGCGGCGGTACGAGCGGCGACGAGATTCCCCAGACGGAGCTCGACGCTTATCTCAGCGATGTGGAACCCTCCATGCGCGATGAGAAACTATGGCGGGACTTCTTGGTCACGAGGCGACGATGGAGGACGTTCACGAAGCAATGCACGCGGTATGATCGACGGCAACATCGCAGGAGCAACGGAAAGGGACGTGGAATACATCACCCAGGAAAAGGTTTTCAAAGCAACGGTAAAGGTCTCGCGGGGGCTAATCAGGCGAGTGTTTGATTTTGTTTGTTCATGCGCCTGCGGCTGGAGCTCGGGCACCTCAGCAGCCGTGCGTCGGATCCATGTATGCGCCACAGTCTGGATTGCTGGCTGGTGTGCAGATACCTTCAGGATCAATGCGAGCAGGTATGTTCACGACTAGCCGAGCGAAGGACGACCGAGAGCAGATCGACAACCATCACTGGTCAGCGGTATCGGTGCATGAAGAAGACAACCCCTGGAGCTCGTTCACGGGCACGCTGAGCACGGGGCGAACTCCGGGGAGATCCAGTCCTATGGACCTGCGCAGGTGGAGATGATATTAGCTTGGCAGGACCGATACCACGTTCGTCGCCGATGAGCCAGTTCAGCGGTACGAGCACGCCAGCATCGGCAGCGAAAGGAGGTCATCAGGCACATTACGGACATGAAGGTGACGAAAGCATGATCATTCACGACGCGGACGAGGAAAATGTAAGAACAGCAAAGGCAAGCATCAAGATCACGATGATCAACAAAACCACGATGAACGCGGTCGTGGTGCGGCTCAGTCTCGACATAATCAGCGCATGAATGATCAGGTTGTTCGCGATCTTACGGCTACTCTATCTTTTGGTGCTCTGACGACCTCTTATATTGGCACGACTTCAATGGATAACGGTGGGGCCGCATCAGCGCCGACGGCTTGAGGTTCAGGCGCATCGACACGGTGAGCATCTCATATTTTCTTCCCGACCTACGACCTACAAGGAGGCGCGTAAGAAGCGTGGCACGTGGCATGCCCGCGCGAGGCTTGGACCGAAAAGGGAAGGATTGCCGGTGGATCCCGGAGCTCACGACAACCTTGCCGGGCCCAAGTGGGCCGCCCGACAGGGGCAGCGGGCCCTTGGGGCAGGCGCCCCCGCTCAGCATCGGCCCATGCGCGCGGTGCTGAACGTCGAGGGCGTGGGCAACGGCAGGCAGCAGTGCGCTCAGTTTGGGGGGTTTCCGATCGCACTGCCAGTGCGGGGGCATGAATCGGCAGGCACTCCCGCAGTGTACGCGGCGCCTATTGTACCAGAGTCAGATATGCCGGCACTTCTGGGCCTACGTTCATTGAGGCAGCTGCGCGCGCCCCTCGACATTGCCAATAATCGCATCCACTTCCTGGGCCCGGGCGACGCCGCGATTCAGCTCCCCCCAGGCACGAGGGCGCGCAACTTGGAGGGGTCGGAGTTTCAGCAGCTGGCCGGCAGCAGTGGCGGAGGCGCGACGTCGTCTACTTCGACGCCCAAACTCTTCCACAATTGCAGTCAATGATTTTTTGTTTGGGGGGGGGGGGGGCGGGGGGGGCGACCAGGCGAAGCCGCCGCCTGGAGGTATCGTCTCCCTGTCCACAGAGGATCGCGGCGGACTGCGCGCTGACGGTCCGGCGGATCTCGGCAATTCCACATCGTCGACGACGGCGCGTAATTCAACCGAAGTTGTCGAAGCCGTCTGCAAAGCTGATGACCCCGGGCACGCTGAGCAACGGCCTCCTTCTGTGGAGCCTGATCCTCGGCATCCTCGCGGTGTGCTTTTGGAGCAAGCAGTGACCGCGGCGAGCGAACTAGGGCACGAGCGTCTAACTTTCAGAGGTTCATGGGCGATATTGATGCTATTCGTCAACGAGCACTACTGGAGCATGGCCGAGGTTCACGACGGCGCGTGCAGATTACACGCTTCGATACGCGAGGCTTGATGTCAGAGCAGATTGGAGCGAGCAGTATCCGACATGGCCAAGAACAAGCTTGATTTATTATGGATGCCACTATCTGGAGCACCCACAGCAGCGATTTGCAGTCGAGAACGGTGGAGGGCATGGAATCTAGCACAGCTCGCAATTGGGGCTCTCGAACTATTGTGCGAGGTTGTTCTGGAAAGAGGCGCAAGAAATCCGATGCGGGAATCGAGCGGGCTCATGGGGCTGGAGGGTGTTACCGAGATTCGAGCACAGCCGATGCGATGGTGCAGGCTGGGCGTGAAGATCGGACAGAATCAACTTCCGGCTGGTCAAGTCACCAAGATCATGAGCCCGATCAGGTTCCCCGAATGAAAAATTTGCGGCCATGGACAGCATTATCAGGATGTTGAACATCAGCGGGGCCTAGAAGCCATCTTCGTGGCGAGGCGCTCTATGCTTCAGGAGCTGACAGCGCAACTATGGCGGCAACAGCGATGTTCTTCGGAGAACGATAGCGGACACGAGGAGATGATACAAGAGTCGCAGCGCGGCGGACGAGACACTTTGGACACTCCTAACGACACGGGCGCTGGAAGAACGAAGATGGTGAGGTTCGAGGACACGGATGGCCATTGCCCCACGGAGGCGCGATTACGACAAAAGCGGAAGGAGAAGGAAGCAAAGGATCGAGCAGCAGCGGATGGCACGAACGAGAAGAGCATCAATAATATCAAGAATATGAGCGACTATGGGAAGGTCTGGACGGACTGCGGCGACGACATGAGTTCCGTCGACCTGGGAGTTTCAGAGTTATGGATGGCTCACGTCACTGCAGACCTTCAACAATACAGCTAGCAAGTCGATGGAGTACATCATGAAATGGACTGGAGTATCGCAATACATGTTGCTTCGGATGATGGCGCGTGGTATGGCAGCAGCGACGACGGCGACATCAGGATCATGATGGGGACAACTTACAACAATCCGCATGACGCGACCTACTTTGTATTCCATAGTCTGGGCCGTCTTTTGCAGCATTGGCTTGCAGATGCTCAGGCACATCGTTGCACTGACATTGTGGATATCATGGGAGGCGAAGGTCGCACTACAAAGACGTTGCTGCGGCGCGTGCGTCCTGAAGGGCCTCATGCCGGCAAGAACTTCGATGTGCAATGCGGCGTGGGTTTGTTTCGCGCATCAGGGCGGGCTGCCATGTGGAAGTATGAACTATGCCAACCAGTGGTAGTGGTGATGTCTCCGGCATGGCAGGCTGGTCAACTTTCAATCGGATGATGAATCCCGATACTCATGAGGCGCCGCGACGGATATCTGAACCACTCGGACATCTGCGCGGAAAAGTTGCCAGATATCATGTCAGCATGGCCGACATTAATTATATTAACGAACAGACAGCTTGATCTGATTTTTTTCACTCACCGATATGGACTGAGGCGAGAGCATTATCGGACACCGCAGAGGCCATCATTCACCAATGTCAAGCTGGACTACGATGCCCGCGCACTGGTTTACCGGTGAAGAAACCTACTCAGATTGCGTCGAGTTGCGAGGCGTTGGTCTTCTCCCCACGGCGGTCACGGTGCGAGGGTAAACGGGCATGTGACAAACATCAGCATATCGACGGTTCAATATCTAGGAAGATGCAGGTGTGGCCGTGGAAGCTCGCAGGCTGCATCGCTCAAGGAGTTGCATGTGTTGTGCGGCATTGCTGGCGCCAGCATCCGGATCGAAAGACACTTGCGTTTATTTTCCTGAGGTTGCTTCTGGAGCACGAGATCGAGATGAAGGTGAAGACCCCGATCGACCACCAACCGCATCCTCATCATCGTCATCGGCTGCGGCGGCTTCGGGATCACCAGCGGCAGGCGCCGTGCCGGCGACCGCGCGTCGATCTGCAGCAGCGAACAAAGATATATGACGAGCGTGCAACAGTAACAGGTCAGCACAAGATCCTATTCATACGCGACGCGGTCTTTGCAAATACCCCAACGTGCAGGCCATTGGCGACGATTGCCCTGGGTGCAAGGCAGGTAAGCCGAGAAGTCATGGTTCGCATGCTGGGGGCGGTCGTTGTCGTTGGGAGTTGGCCGCGCATCGAGGACTAGGATCATCTGTCGAGCTACCGCGACAGCCTGGAGTGCGCGGTGCTGTTCCAGATCCGTCCAGTCCTGAACGAGGAGGAGGACGACATAGTGAATTGGAACCCTCGGCGCCGCAAGCGGCGCCATCAGCAGCATCAGCAGCAGCAGCAGAACCAGCAGCAGCGGTTGAATCAGCGGCAGCGGCAGGAGGTGACGTACCAATCGATGCACCAGCACCACAACCTCCTCCTGCTCACCCTGCAGGGCGTCCTCCTGCAGCTGATCGACGGAATCGAGGGGGGACAAGGATCGAGGCTAGCACGCAGGCGGATCCCGCTGGAGCGGATTGGCATGATTGGTCGGCTTGTCGAGCTCTTAAACTTTTCAAACTGTTGGATCCGATTGTTGTGCGCCGAACCGTGCGGCAATTGCACATTGGGCTCTGGCGCGCCCCGATCGAACGCATGAAGGAGCTCATGAGAGCGGCTGGTGCACCCCCCGAGGCGATGGATGTCGTGGCGTCGGTGGTAGATACTTGCCCAGTATGTCGACAGTGGCAGCATATTGGAGTCAGGCCCATCTCGAAGACCAAGATAGTCATCGACTTCAACATGGAGGTGGAGGTGGACCTGGTGTTCTGGAGCACCCGCACGATTCTGCACCTGGTTGATTGCTGTATCAGGTGGTCGGCGGCACTTGTCATATCTAGCCGCACCCCACAGGACACCTTGAACGGCATCACCCATGTATGGATAAGGCTGTTCGGTCCGATGCGCGTGCTCACCAGTGACATGGACGGCGCAGTGCACTTCGAACTGGCTTCGGCCTGGGCAGATCGATGGGGCATTCGACTCAAACTACGACCTCGGCGTGCACACGCTCGCATCGTGGAGCGCCACAATGCCCTGCTGCGCGACGCAGAGCGCATAAGGTGAACGCGCAGCTGGAGAGAGATGGCATCGCAGTTCCGCCTCAGGCTGTCGTCGACGAATCGGTGCTGGCCAAGAACTGCATGCCTCCCCTGCACGGAGTATCGCCCTACAAAGGATTGTCTGGCAGGTCTCCAGCGATGCTGCGCGAGTTCGAGCCAGGCTCAGAGACACTGTTGGCGGACAGCAGCGATGGCATCGCAGGCGTCTCACGTCATGTCAACAGGCTTCGTGAAGCAGCACTGGCAGCTATTAGTCAAGGCACCGCATCGGACAGGTTATCGAGAGCGCTTAACTCACGGACCAGGCCAGCTGGAGGATTGTTGGAGCTCCAAGTAGGCGATGAGGCCGGCATCTATCGCGACCCCCCAACAAAGACTTGAGTGGCTGGCGAGGACCCGCAGTGGCTACCGACCTTACGCGTATTCGAGAAGGTACCGTGGGTGTAAGATGGCAGGGCAGAAATATGCAAGTTCGGTTGCCTGAAATTCGACGTGCTGCGGTGTTGTGGACCTTCCTGTCTGAACCTCACGCACAGTAGTCGACGCAGCTACCGGCAGAATACATCATGAACTTCGCGGAGAGCTTCGAGCAGGGATCGCTATACTTCGGCTGTGTTTTTTTCTCGCAAGCACGGCTGGATGATAAGCAAGGACCGACAGAGATTTCCTGGACCCATGCGAGCAGCTTTCGCTATGGCGTCGCGCCATCTCCAGTTGACGGGATGCATCGGCATTCGTGTCGGTCACGGAGTTCGGCACATTGGGCTACACCTGGCAGAGACGCAGCTGGCGTTAGGTGGTGGCAGGCTGGACGCCGAGAAGGCTGGTCGTGGATCCAGGTTCCAGGTGCTCTATGGATATCGACACCATGTCTGTTTGTTGATCTCTGGCCCATCACTCCCTTCCTACAGTTCCTGCTGGTAACGGAAGATGAGGCACGACAGGCGAGGCGCCAGGCATTTGGAGTAGCACGTGTTGGCGGCATGGGCGAGCGGTTTGATCAAGCTGAAGGTTATCTTTTGCCGCGCTGGAATGGCATCAAGAAGATTCGCGCGGAAGGATCTGAGGGCAGTGATAATCCGGGACCACATTTGGCTAGAAGATTGCTCGACGTGCAGGGCTTCGAGAGGTCATTGACCCCTGCGTCGGAGGAGAGCGGTAACCCGAGACCTCATGTCGCTCAACGATTGTCTGATGATGAAGACGAGCAACAAGACGCGATATCCGATGAAGAATTTTTGTCTCAGCGATCACGACTTCTTGACGTTCAAGTACCTGGGCTTCTTTTCCCAACAATACCTTGTCAGGCTGGTGTAGATGATGATGAGTGATTAGAGCTGGGCATGAACGCAACCGTGGCACTTAAGTGCTGTGGCGAGACGGTGCTTGAAAGCTACGTCATGGCACATCGATGCGATATTATGGGTTGTTATGCGGAGACAGCCATCGAGCGCGAGATGAACACCCTCACCAAGGACGAGCCCAACAAGTATGCACGTAATGTTGTTGAGGCCTGTCTGCTGGAATTGCAGCGATGGAAAGAGAGCTACTAGCTTAGTGGACAGCAGAAGAGTGTTGAAGTGGAAACTGGGTGGTGGAGTTTGCAAGATCAAGGCGAGGCTGACAGTTCGCGGCTTCAAGAACAGACAAGCCGAGTCACTCGCAACATTTGCTGGCACGGCATCAAGATGGGGACAACGGGTTGTATGTTCAATGGCGACGCTCTATCAGTGGAAGTTATGGTCGACGGACATCTCCATGGCGCTTCTCAGAGGAAAGACGTTCAAGCAGATCGCGGCTGAGACGGGCGCCGCACTGAGATCTTTTCAGTGTGAACTACCGGCTGGAGCTCACATACTGTTGTGACAGATCGAGGGCACCCGCGACTTCAGCAAGATTACCGAGGTCCTGGATATTAATAAGCCAGGCTTTGGTACAAAGGACGCACCGTGGTCGTTGGTGTGTGGCTCTTACCGAGACACTCGTGGAGGCGAGCTGGCAGCCGGCGAGGTCGGACGCCAAGCTATACACCAAACATCGCAAGGCGAGGGGGAAGGGCGGCGCATGCCCGATCACGGGCAGACCTTATATGGAAAATTGAAAGGTTCCGCTCGGAGTGTTGGCGACTCTCGTGGATGACTTCAAAGGCGCGTGTGAGGAGATTACACGAGTGGAGCTGTTCCGACGACTGGAGGCAAAATACGGCAAGTGCGAGCTGATCGAGGGCCCTTTCGAATGCGTTGGTATTCAGCAGCGACAGGACCCTAAGACGATGGAGTGTACAATGGACCAGAACCACTACGTGAGCCAGATGAAGCCGATTCCCACGACGATGTTTGACAAGCAGGCCGACTCGGACATGGCGAGGAACAGGTCAGTTTGCACATGTCGTTGTTGGGAGGTGTGGCATGGATGGTGCTCGCGAGGGCAGACATTGTGGTGTATGTCGGGAAGCTGTAGCGCAATATGAAGGACGTGAAGATATCATATTTGGAGGACCTCAAACAAGTTTTGAAGTGGATTAAGCGAGTACCTTCGACGATAAGATTCAGTCGACCGTCCGCAACATTACGATTGGCGGTGATTGCTGACAGTGCACATCCAGCTGACGATGTGGACTGTTTAGCAATGAGGGCGGTCACCATTGGATTGTGTGAAGTTTGTGGAGCAGTACACTCAGGAGGTTTTCATGTATGGGAGTATTTTTCACGCGAGCAGGCTAAGGTGAATAGAGGTACTTTCAGCGCTGAACTCAACGACGCGATCGAGGCTACCGAGTATGGCATGTTATTGATGTGTTATGCTCGAGCTCGACCACCAGACGT